GCATGACTTTTATGTCTTTAATTTAGAAAGAGGTGAGCCATTTCGAATATGGCAATAATTAGTAGTTTTTCTAGTTTAACCATTGTTTTATAATATCTCTGCTTCTAAATAAGTGCATCACTTGTCTTATTCGATCATTTTTTATAAGTGCACAACTTTTTGAAGAAATATTTCTCTAAAAAATTTCTTTCCCATCCCACTACCCTATTCAACTTTTTTTTTTCCCACTCTTCCTACATTTCTCATGCATATTCACATTCCTTTTATGTACTGTAAAATAAAAATATTTCCCGTATACATTTTATTCATTTCTTATATTCTTAACTTGACCTATACACAATAAAATAATCAAGTGTTATAGACTTTATACTCTAGGACCAAAAATAGTATGGTGCTCTTGTGAGTTTCACTTACATACCATACCTATTTAGCACTTTCTCTTTTTGTTTTTTTGCTATACTTTGATTTATGCATTATATCTATCCTATTGTAGTTAAGTTTAAGGGGTTGCCTGAATTCCATGTAATGATTAAGGGGTAGATTATAACCCACTAACTATTAGGGGGGAATGAGATATGGGGGATAAATTTTTCAGAAGCGGATATTAATAAGGTTTGGGAGTTTTAATAGTTTAGTAAATTTCAGTCCATTACCAAGTTTGGTATATCAAATTCAAGGAAACTACATCATATTATCACAAAAATCGCACAAAATTGAAGTAATAATTGTAGGAGTTTATAGGTACTACGCAGCGAAAATAACATGAATCATATTCAATCAAGTACCAATCCAGAATCGCATGCATAACACACAAGACACATAATCATACCTTTGACGCGTGAATTCTACGAAGCTATTTGACAGGAAAATCAGGGAGAGAATAGAGCCCCAAGCGTTGCACCTCTTCTTAGTCCACGAGATTCGAACGAGCCATCCACCAATACTAGATTGGTCGAGTGATTGAGGAAAACCGCGATCACCACCTTTATGGATAACCGACCACTGCACGAACCACCACCACCACCACGGACCACCATCGACGTGAGGAGGAGGAGAGAGCCGTGAGAGAGAGGAATATGAGAGAGGTGGGTTTCGTGTTTGCTAATTAGGGTTTGATCACACTGATCAGTTAATTGCTTACATGCAAACCTAGGCACCTAGTCTATTTATATACTATTATAATTAGACTAGGGCACAAAGCTCAAAACTCTCTTATCCACTCCATATGGGCGGCCACCTTGAGTGATGAGACCCATGATGGGCCCCGTCCTCTAATGCTCGATCTAGCCCCTTTGTGAACCTTATAGGATCCATCCAATTGGGCTTTGGGCTATTTTACTAGTCCAAAGATCGTTAGTACCTCTAGCTATGGAAAAACGACGACCCAAATGTACGAACTTAATTATCTCCATAATTTGATCCATTTATATATCTAGTAATTGCACACGACGAAGATATAACTCCTTCAATCTCCCACTTGTCTGAGACAAGGGTGCAATATTCAAATTCCTTAAGTCAATATGTGTGTCGATTTGATAATATGATTGCATCACATGTCGAGATCATATTAATCTACAAATAGTTTCTTGAAATTTGAGTTAGAATTACAAAACCAAATGATTCATGTGTAATGCATTTGAACGCGGCCACGTATTTTCTGAATTCTCCCTCTTCAAGCGGCCATGACACATTTCCTAATTTAATAGGTAGACTCTATCCAATCTTGTGGTAACATGACTCCCACTTAACTTCTGAAATAATCGGGAAACACCCTTTATATTCTCCAGTTACGGCTAGACGTTTGAGTGTACCACAGTCACAACATCCATTGAATGAAATCAATGTTCCACTCATGTCAAAGGAATCCACTAATATATACGGAAACTCTATACTTGAACTTCAAAGTAGGTCATTAGTTCGATCATGCATATCCAAGTGATTGACCGAGCATCACTATGCCCCTATAGCCTATGAAACTGCGCTATCCAATCAATCTTACATGCCAGTTCATTTATTGAAACCATTTATGTCCACTTTAATGATCTCAAACTAGGAACTCAAATAATATATGAGTTTTGTTCACATGTGGGGTTTTAATTCACCAGGTCATCAACCTGATGAGCCCATCAATTCATAATTATTTTGGACATTTTATTTAATTTCCAAAACCATAATTAAATAAGAGAAATAATAATTTCTATTTTAAACATAATTCTGCAAATTGATGCATTTCTCATGTAATATGTTTTCTCAAAACATATACAACTTAAATTACATAACTTGCTTCAATCTTAAGACTTTAATATGACTCTCATACCTAAGTCCATGGAAGGGGTTTAGTGATTTCTCACTCATAATAAAACTTTGCAGAACATGACCTTCCGCTGGTCAATGATCTCATAGTTGAGGTGATATCTCATATCCTTTTGTTTGGATTTGTGATGTGACCCTGGCTCCTTTGTTCTTGGGCAAAGGTGACCTGTTAGTCACATGCCATTTTAATCCGAACTTCCTCTCTAGCTATCTTACTAATAGTTTAATACACATATTCTGACATTGAGTATGCAAGAGTGCTCTGCTTTGAACTCTTCAAGCTCACTGTCCTTCTCCATCCAGACACAAATATGCATTTAGATCACCATTTAGAATCATCTTGCCTATTTGGAAAACTTGTATTCGTGTAACCTTTTGACAACTTGCTTAAATTACCATTTAACACAATAGCTAGAAATATTCCTTTTGTGCTTCTCAAGTACTCAAGGATTTGTTCTTGGTAATTCTGCGTATGCCTATTCTGAATTTGCTTGAAACCCTTTACACATGCACAAGTCATATGAAACATCTTGCTTTGTACATTTCATGGCACATCTAATGGATCCTTTTGCAGAAGCATAAGGTACACTATCCATACAACTTAACTCTTTTAGATTTTGAAGGCACTGAGTTTAACTGAGTGTAATACCATGAAACATGGGAAGATATCCTCTCTTAGAGTCTTGCTTCATGAACTTGTCAAGATCCTTATCAACATAAGTCTCTCGATTCATTCCAATCATTCTTCAAGATTCACTTCATGGATTTCAATCCCCAATATGTACTCAACATCTCCTAAGTCTCTCATATAGAAACAATCTCTCTAACCATTGCTTGACTTATTCAAGCATTGATATATTATTTCATATGAACTGTATGTCAACTACATACTAGACTAAAAGACCAATTACTCCCACTAAACTTCTTGTCTCTACAAGATTCCCTTTTTGTTCTACTAAGGAAATCAAACAGTTTGATTGCCTAATCAAAACGAATGTTCCAACTCCCTGATGCTTACTTCAATCCATTAAATGAATTTCTAAAGTTTGCAAAACTTTCTAGGAATTTCTGGATTTCAAAACTCTTAGGTTGTATCATATACATGTTCACCACCAAGAACGTTTCATGAAGGTGATTTTGATATCCATAACTAGAATAATCTGAATAGGCTTACCCAACTAATAGGTTTGACCCTATTTGTAAGACTATTATGGACTAACACATCGTTACAAACATGGAGTCCATACTGGATTTCATGGCTTTAAGCCATTTCCTGAGTTGGCACTTAGCCAAAGCTTGCTTGTAGGGCATGGATTCTAACCGTTCTAATAAGAAAACTTTAGAATCCACCTTTTCTCAGAATTTCAACAAACTGTTTGTTTTTATCCCAAGTAACCTACGATAGGTATGAGCGACAATAGAATTATTCTCTTCAACTCTTTGAAGCCTCGCTAGTTGAATTCTCGCTAGTTGAATTAGCTTGCTTCAACACATGTTTTATCAAATTAGCTGATTTCATGCGCCTTCGTCTCTGATGTAGTGTTATCCACTTCCATTTATTGCTCGTCTCGAATCTCATCGAGATCTAACTTTACTCCCACTTGTCTTTGTAGGAAGACATTCTTTCTATAAAGACACTATCGCGAGCAACAAACACTTTGTTTCTACGCGATTGTAGGAATAATACCTCTTAGTTTCCATGAGAAAACCCATGAAGAACTATTTTTCTGATTTAGGGTGCATTATGTCATCTTTGTAAACATTTTACATTGATTTCATAACCCTTAATCCTATTTAGAAAAGATAACTTTTGGAAAATTTCCAAAACATAACTCTTATGACATCTTTTTTTTCTGCTTTGGTTAAGTCTTCTGTTTAGTATATTCGCAATTGTTGTTGTAATGTATATCCTCAAAACGATATTTGTAAATCATTAAATCTTGGATCGAACAATGGCAAGCAAAGTTTGATTTCTTCTTCATAAACATACACTTTAATTGTAATGTTTCTGGATTGTGAATTAATTCAACAATTCCCTTTAGATGATCATTCCTTTTGAGTTAAATATTTATCACAACAATCATATTGTGGTGTTAAATTGTTTATCTCAAACTGATTTTACATTTCATTTTGGAAATTTGAACATTTCAATGTTTCCAAGCTTTACTTCATTAAGTAATTATCGATATATTTACTTAAATCGGCAGTAAAAGCAATGAAATAGTTAAATCTCCTTGCTAATTTTGAATTATTAGTTCACATACATCATATGTATGAGTTCCAAAAGGTCATTTTTGCTTCTTTTACCCTTTCTACTAAAAGGCAACTTGGTCATTTTAACTTATCAAGCATGACTTCTAATTCTCAAGTGATTCATAATCATATAAGAATAAGAGTACATCCATAACTTTGGATGTGCAAATGGTTAATGTGACCTAGCCTTACTTGTTATAAGTAAGTGTACTTTGAATCATCTAAATTTACTTTTGTGATCTACTTATATCAATGACATAAAACAAAATTAACTCATATCTAGCAAAATGAAAACAATTTATTACCTTGGTCATGGATCAACACTTGTCCAAGCCAAGTAAACCAAATTCAGTATTAAAAACAAGAAAACCGAAATATTGTCTCATTAAAATTGGAAATTGTCTAAAATCATGATAAATAATCAAAATTTGAAACTATGAAGCTATCTCTGGCCACTCAAACACTTCTAGTGCACCTTCAAGCTCCATTTCCTTGCTAGCTTCACTTGTTTGCAGTTCCTGCTCAACATTCATAATGTTAAGCACTACAACTTGGTATCACATACCTAAGTAAAAGTTAGAATGTTTATAACATAATACCTGAGGTTGATGCTCTATTCTTTTTGAGGAAGTCAAGGTATTTCTGGAAATTTCGCTTCCAATGCCCCTTCTTCTTGCAGTAAAAGCATTCACTTTCACTTGCAGCCTTGGGCTTTGGAGTCCTCTTAGGCTTTTCAGGAGCCTTGGCAACTTGCTTGCCCTTGCTCTTGGCACTAGCCTTTTGCCCCTTCTTCTTGAACCCCTTTCCCTTTTGAATCATAAGAACTTCCTTCTTAGGTTCCTTAGGGATTTGTTTCTCAGCACTAACCAGCATTGCATGCAATTGATTCATAGTCTTTGCAGTGGTAGTTATGTTAAAATTCATGATAAATTGGTTGAAACTTTCTGGTAGTGAATGGAGAATGATGTCTGTTGCCAAATCATCACTATATGGGTGCCCCAGTTTCTCCATACTTTGAATTAGGCCGATCATTTTGAAAACATGATCATGTACTGTGGCTCCCTTCTCCATTCAACAATCTAGAATCTCACGATGGAGCTCATACCTTTCAACTCTAGCTTGTTTCTTAAACAAAGCTTTGAGTTCTTGCATGATTGAGTAGGCATCCTGGTCCTCAAAACGCTTTTGAAGACTAGGCTCCATGGTATCAATCATTAAGCAAGTGATAGGTATAGCTCTGTCATGAGCTTCCTTGTGCTTCTTGATCTCTGCCGCAGTTAGATTTTCTGGCAGAGGTCCTGGTGTAGACACCCAAATGTGTCTCCACAAAACCAAACCCAGTGATGAATAATTTTCATGTCATTTGATTATCGAACGAAGCGAAAGTGTGAAAAGTCTAGTGATGAGGATGTTTTTATTGAAATATCTCTTTTTTCTGTTTTTGAAAATATTTCTTTTCTTACCCTATTTATGAAAAACGTACATTCTAGTTTATTTTGGTCGATGATAAGGGTCCAATAATGGTGTAATTGGATAGGGCTTGAAAAGACCTTTATAACGATATATTATAAGCCCAATTCCGATGAATAATGAGGAAGTTATGACCAAAATACTAAACTGGGCCCGATTTTGTTTTTATATGCGGCCCAATGATCTAGTGGAGGGCCTATTATTAATTATCATTCCAGCTATTAAGATTGATTATAGTCTTCTAGAGTATTCTAGGAGGTTCTCTTAAATCCTAATGGAGTTAGGATTGATAATTATGTTTCAAAGAGTTTGAAATTGAATAAAACTACTCCTTTTTGGAATCCTTGTTTCGTACGAAGTGAAATATATTCATATTTTATTTTCGTGCCTCATAATATTTATCCAAATCTTATATGGTTGGATAAATCTAATTATCTTTCCAATGATATATTATAATATTAAATCCGATTTACAACGAAAAAGATATGAATGGAATATGAAACTCTATCCAAAACTAACACTATTCCACTATTTCAGACATATCTTTTTATCTACAAAAGATTTTAATCTGTTTCTAATTGGGTTGGAAAGTAGTCTTCAAGAGCTTTCTAACGACATATTATACGCCTTATTTGGACTTCCGGATCAAAAGATATGATAAAAACAAAAGCGCGTGAAACTGATTATTAGCGCCTGGCGCTAATAACCAGCGTCTAGCGCTAATGACCAGCGTCTGGCGCTAATGACCAGCGTCTAGCGCTAATCGTGTTTTATTCTCGTTGAAACTCTGATTCGTTTTTTATCCATCCGACTGATTTTCTCTATAAATAGCTTCTTAAAATTCTGTTTTCAATCATTAATTTCCATCAATTCTTCTCATCAACTCTCATCAAGAATTTCTTGATTCTCTCTCTCTTTCTTAACCAAGCCTTTTACATACAAAATTCCGCATTCACAAGATCTAGACACACCTAGCATTGTTCGAAGTTGCCTTCGCCCTAGACGTGAAAGGTTTGATAATTCTGAGGGTTTGGTCCTAAATCTACCCTAAAATTTCTTTAATTTCTCTTTCAATTATTTAATTTAATTGTTTGTTTTAATATTTTTCTTGAAGTTACTAACGTGTGTATTTTTGTTATTAGAAAGAGATACGAGGCATCAAAGTAAGTGCTTTTAATTGTTTACATTGATTTTATGATATAGAAATCATGTTTAGGTTATTATTTTGATTCCTAGTATCATGTTTAGGGTACTTTCTAATATCAAGAATGATTAAAAGAATGCTTCCTAGTATCATGTTTAGGGTAAAAAATATAATGTCAATTATGATTCATGCGATGCTTCTTATATTCTTTCCTAATATTCATGTTAGTACCATGTTAGGGTTAAAGCTTTGATTTTTATTGTTTAGTGACATGCTAGGGTTTGTTATTAATCTTGTTAGTATCATGCATAGGATCTTGCTATTATTATGCTTTAACATGGTTTTGATTATTATGATTATGATTATTATTATTTTTATTATTATCATGTTGCTTGATATTTATTGTTATTGCTTGATCACACCTTTTATGCATGTTTAAAGGGAATTGGTACTTGTAATTACGCTTAATAAGATAATTAATAATCTTCTTTAGGGTTAATATGATTATAATTCAAGTGATCGCCAATAATAGTTTTATTTGTGCATTAATATTCAACCAACATAGTTAAACAGGTTTAGGGTTAATCCTAATGATTGCATGTTAGTCAGAAAGCACACATGAATACGATTAGAATAAAGTAGAGACATATTATTACGGCGGGTTCAATATCTTTTAGGTTGGATTTGTACCTTCATCTCCGGACTACCAGTCATGGTTCCAGACCTATTGGAGTTGACGATCTCCTGGATCGTTAAGGGGTGTAACCTTCACCTTGTGAACGGTTTACAAGTTCCTAAAACTTGTTGGCGACTCTTTTGCTCTAGTTTCCTTCCCTTTGGATGCCACTATGCTTAAGCGTATGACCACATTGGGGTTCAAGCTAGGGTTTATGCTTGAAATATTCCCTACACCTCGCAATGGGGTGTCAATGACATCCTCTCTACCTTCATATTTTAGAACAAGCCTTAGCATTCTTTCCTAGTTGGAAAAGTTATCCATGTCAACCTATCCTTCTCAAGGAATGGTCGAAGATTGTAAACGTTGCTGTCATTGTGATTACGACTACCCATCTATGCCAAAATAAGGCAAAGTATGTTTAATTAAATTTAAAGTACCATAAACTCATTCATTTGGTAACTTTAAAACACTTTATTCAATAATTAATTGATCCCAATTGAATTATAAGTGATTTCAAGATCCTTTATTTGTGCAATAATTGACCGGACTGAGGCCCTACCATCAACCATTACATTTTCAAGGTGAGTAAACTCTTTACTGATTACAACTCTTGTAACTCTTGGTTGAATAATTAAGGATTTTTTTGTGAAAAACTACCTTTTATATACAACTTTTTGTGAAAAACTACCTTTTAAAAAAATTGTTGTAAATGACTACCTCTTTTAAAAAAAATGTTGTAAGGGACTACCACTTGCCGGAATCTGGCCGTTGACTCAAATTTCCGGCGTTGACCATCCATGTGCCGGTCATATGACCTTTAATTTTTTTTTCTTTTTTTCTATGCATACGCCACCAGCAATGCCGCCATCTTCACCACCGCCCCACCACCACAACACCTCAAAACACCCTTACAACTGCCCTCACGCATCCCAAAACCAACCCAACCCCACTTGAAACCACCTCCACCCCGTCGAATCCAACACAAGCCATCAATCGCTCCGCAATTCCGCGACCTTAAAACAGCAACATCATTAACTTCGTTCCCCTGCCATCACCGCACCACCACACTCCATCTTTACCTCTTGACGCCACCAATAAACACCACCACACCCCACCAAGCTGCACGTAGTAGCCATACTAACCACCATCCCTACCACGATACACTAACAACAATAGCGCAACAATCAAATTTAAAAATTAATTCAATTGAGGAAAGGAAAGGAAGGGTTTTAGATTTCGAGGATTCGAAGAAGGGTGGGCGGGATTTCGACAACTGAGAAATACGTGGGTGGGTGGATTTGACCAAAAATTGATAATTTATTTGAGGGTTGGCCGGAAATCAAGAATTGAGGGAAAGAGGTAAGGAGGGCTAGGGACCGGAAAAGGAGCATTGCAGGGGGTGGGGATGGTCGGAAATTGGAAAAGGGAGGTGGAGGGGAAACAAGCGTGGTAGTCGGCAGGTGTGTAGGGGTTGTCGGAAGCTGGACAAGGGAGGGGGAGGTGACGGCGAAGGGGTAGGGGTGGTCGAAAATTATAAAAGGGAGGAGGAGGAGGGAGTGGGGTGGTCGAACACGAGAAAAAGCTGTAGGGTGGTCGAAAATTAGAAAAGGGAGGAGGAGGAGGGAGTGGGGTGGTCGAACACGAGAAAAAGCCGCCAAATGGTTTAGTCAACGCCGGAAATTTGAGTCAACGGCTAGATTCCGGCAAGTGGTAGTCCCTTACAACATTTTTTTTAAAAGAGGTAGTCATTTACAATAATTTTTTTAAAAGGTAGTTTTTCACAAAAAGTTGTATATAAAAGGTAGTTTTTCACAAAAAATCCAATAATTAATCATCACATGTTTAATTATTACCCTTAGCTTCAAGGTTCTAAACCCTTTAGGTAACCTTGTTGAGTATAACCAATTAAAATTGTAAAACTTGATTTACCCCAACTCCCCAATGATATAATATGACACCCAGCTGAGGCATGACCATCATAAAATATCAAAGGTTTCATAGGGTTTTTAATTGGAAAAGCTGCCTCAATATTACCGGGACCTAGATTTATTATGTGGTGATTATTTAGTGAATTCTAGCGCATCATCAATCAACATAAATAAAATCTAACATGTATAATCTACTAATGCAATAAAATAAAGCATGACATAGTATGACCCCTTAGTCCTAAGAAAAACTAGAAATGAAATTGCTCCCACTTGAATCGTCATGGATCTCCATCCACCTTGCTCCTTTGGGCCTTCACTTCATTGGCTTCTTTGAACTAAAACTATTTAAATAACTATTCTATTTACTTTAAATAAAAGTTACAAAAATACTTAAAGATACGCAGACCATATTTAGATTACAAAAATATTTCACGATGCGCAGATCGTATTTAAGAATATATGGGTCATACTAGTCTATATACAGCAATATAATATCATATATTATAAAAGTGCCATATAATAAAACACTCAACATGCTTTTCTAAACTACAACATCGAATGTTCATAATAAAGTCAACACATTTCCTAAAATATCTCATATTTAAATCATAATTAGATAATATCATATATTATTCATGACCTTTTATAAAATATCATATATTTAATTTAGTCATGAGATAGAATCAAATCATATTTTAATCTAGAAAGATAAATCATATTTAATCTTCCATGATCATCCTAACAAATTTAGGAGATTCTATCCTAATTACTAGCCAATCAAATAATTTTA